ATCTCAGCCTCCTGATGAGTAGCTAGGATTACAGGCGTGAGCCACCATTTCCTGGCAGAACATATTTCTTTTCTAAAAAAGAATTTTGAATTTATCCTTACTACTTTCATGAAATATAAATTGAAACAGAGTTGTCCAAAGACAGTATTGTTTTGTGATCTTGATTGATATTGATGACATCGCTTTAACTCTAAATTGTCATGTAAAAATTTGTATTGGAGAAATTTACTATCCAAGGATATGAAAGGCAGAAAAGCTAGTAGTGTTTAGACATTTCCACATACTGATATGATTATCAGTCTCTCTCATAATGAGCCAAATAGATATCTTGGACAGAACCAAGTCCTTGCCCATTCACATTATTAGTTTTAATCCTAAAATTATCCAGAGAATGATGAAACTTCATACCAGAAAAAAACAGTGGTAAGTGGCGCTGTAGCTCAAGTGGTAGAGCGCTCACCTTGAGCTGAAGAGCTGCCTAAGCCCAGAGTTCAAGCCCCAAGACTGACAAAAAAAAAAAAAGAAACAGTAGTAGAAATAATTCTTTAAAAATAATAGCCTTGGACTGGGAAAGTGGCTTAGTGGTAGAGTGCTTGCCTGGCATGCATGAGACCCTCGATTCTTCAGTACCACATAAGCAGAAAAACCGGAAGTGGCACTGTGGCCCAAGTGGTAGAGTGGTAGCCTTGAGCTGAATTGCTGAGGGACAGTGCCCAGGCCCAGAGTTCAGGACCCCCCTACCCCCCCCCCCCCCAAAAAAAAAAGTAATAGCCTTAAGCCCAGCCTTATGACCTGTGGCTTACCCCTATAACCCTAGCTACTCAACAGGCTGAGATCTGAGGATCACAGTTCAAGCCAGCCCAGGCAGGAAAGTCAATGAGATTCTTATCTCCAATTAACCACTAAAAAACTGGAAGTGGAGCTGTGGCTCAAAGTAGTAAAGTGCTAGCCTTGAGCAAAAGAGCTCATGGAAAGCGCCTCAGCCCTGAGTTCAAGCCCCATTACCAACAAAAAACAGCTTTGCTGGATGTCTAGTTCATGCCTGTAATCCTAGCTGCTTAGGAGACTTGAGATTTTAGGATCACAGTTTGAAGCCAGTCCAAGCAGGAAAGTTTGCAAGACTTTTTTTTTTTTTAAGTCCGTTGTGGGGCTTGAACTCTGGGCCTGGGGCCCTGTCCCTTGCTCTACCACTTGAGCTACAGCGCCACTTCCGGTTTTCTGGTGGTTTATTGGAGATAGGAGTCTCATGGTCTCTCCTGCCTGGGCTGGCTTTCAACTGCGATCCTCAGATCTCAGCCTCCTGAGTAGCTGGGATTACAGGCGTGAGCCACTAGGGCCCGGCCAATGCAAGACTCTTAAGTTAGCCACTGAAACACCAGAAGTCAAGCTGTAGCTCAAGTGGTAGAATGTCAGCCTCAAACAAAAATCTAACAAACAGGGCTGGAAAGGTGGTTCATTGGTAGAGCGCTTGCCTTGTATGCCTGAGGCCCTGGGTTCGATTCCTCAGAACCACATAAGCAAAAAAGAAAAAAGCCGGAAGTGGCGCTGTGGCTCAAGTGGTAGAGCGCTAGCCTTGAGCTGAAGAGCTGAGGGACAGCGCCCAGGCCCAGAGTTCAGGCCCCAGGACCAGACACACCCCCCCCCCCCCAAAAAAAAAAAAAAAAGAAAAAAAAATAAATCTAACAAACAGTCCCCAGGCCCTGATTAAAGGCCTCATACTGGAACACACATTTTATTTTATTTTTTGGTTGTCTGAACTCTGGGCCTGGGTGCTGTCCCTCAGCTCTTCAGTTTAAGGCTAGCGCTCTACCACTTGAGCCACAGCACCACTTCTGGCTCTTTTTTTCTGCTTATGTGGTGCTGAGGAATTGAACCCAGGGCCTCATGCATGCAAGGCAAGCACTCTACCACTGAGCCATCTTTCCAGCCCCAGACACACACATTTTTAAAAATAAGTGTTATATAGGTATAACTCATGCAGTACAGCTTGATTTATCATTGCCTTCAAATTGATACCACTTCATCTCTAGGTAACCATTAGTCTATTAGTCTATTTTATGTTTTTATAGATTAATCCATTCTAGACTTTTTTTTTTGGGTCCAGTCGTGGGCCTGAACTCTGGGCCTGGGCACTGTCCCTCAGCTGTTCAGCTAAAGGCAAGTGCTCTACCACTGAGCCACCTTCTCAGCCCCTCTAGACATTTTATATGTAGTAGACCCAGAAGATATTTTTGTGGCTAGCTTGTTTCATTAAGTGTGATGTCGTTAAGGTCTATTCATGTTGTAGAGATGGAAGTATTTAATATAACAATCTTTTGTTTTGGTCAGTCGTGGGGCTTGAACTCTGGGCCTGGGCGCTGTCCCTGAGCGATACCACTTGAGCGACAGGGCCACTTCTGTTTTTCTGGTGGTTAATTGGAGGTAGAGTCTCACAGACTTTCCTGCCTGGGCTGGCTTTGAACCGAAATCCTCAGATCTCAGCCTCCAGAGTAGGTAGGATTACAGGCATGACCCACTGGTGCATGGCTTATAACAAGCTTTTGTTCAAGTATTAGAATACTAGAAAGGCTAAAAGGTGACACAATATCAACTTTTAAGACACTCTGAAGCACTTGAAGAAGGGAAGAGATTAGAATTATTAAAATTTAGAAGTTTTGGGTCTGGTACTTAATGGCTCACACCTGTATCTTTGAAGCTAGCTCTAGGCAGAAAAGAGACTCCATCTCCAATTAGCCAGCAAAAATCCCATTGAAAGCATGGCTCAAATGGTAGAGCACCAGGTGTGAATAAGAAAGCTTAATGAGAGCATGAGTTCTTGAGCTTAAGCCCTGGTACAAGCACACTTTTACAAAGTTAATAATAATAATAATTGAGAAAATTGAGGGAGCCCTTGAAAAGGGGGTCTGAGAGCTAGCAGCTGGCTAGTTTTGCTGATGTTGCTGACAGGGTTATGTCAAACTGGTTTTGCAAGTGTTAGAAAACTGCAACTGGAATTGACTGTTACTGGAATGAACTGCCACTGCTCCAGTAGAGAAACATACCTTAGGGCTGGGAAGGTGGCTCAGTGGTAGAGTGCTTGCCTTGCACCCTGGGTTTGATTCCTCAGCACCACATAAGCAAAAAGAGAAACATACCTTCTGGGTGTTCCTGTCAACAATAGGAAGTATCCTTTGTTCCTCAGTTGCTCTACTGATTGACAGATGCTAACAACATAACTAGCAAAGGAAAAATATGGTTTGCAATCATTGCATCTGCATCATAAAACTATAGTCTAGGGGCTGGGAAGGTGGCTTAGTGGTAGAACACTTGCCTTGCATGCATGAGGCCCTGGGTTCGATTCCTCAGCACCATATAAGCAAAAAGAAAAAAGCTGGAAGTGGCGCTGTGGCTCAAGTGGTAGAGCGCTCGCCTTGAGCTGAAGAGCTGAGGGACAGCGCCTGGGCCCAGAGTTCAGGCCCCACGACCAGACCCCAAAAAACAACAACAACAACAAAAAACCTATAGTCTAGAGGGGTAGATTTGTAGCTAAGAGGTGTCTAATACCCAGCCCATCGTTTGAGTTGGAATGGTAAGTAGAAAGTTGCTTAATACAATAGCCTCAGTATTTAGTCTCTTGGTTAGGATCCTAGAACAGTCCCTGGGCAGGAAGTTAGACTCTTATCTCCAAATAAGTAGTACAGACAAAGTACTGGAAGTTACCCTGGGTGCCAGGGGCTCCTGCCTGTAATACTTGCTACTCAGGAGGCTAAGGTCTGAGGAAGGAAGTTCCAGGCCAGGGAAAGTAAGTTCGTAAGACTCTTTTTTTATTTCTAATTAACTACCAAAAACTGGAAGCAGAGGTGTGGCTCAAGTGGAATAGTGCCTGGGCCCTGAATTCAAGCCCAGGCCCCAAGTGAGTAAGTATCAGTTTCCCTTTATATCCTTTGATGTGCTGTTATACTAAGAATAAGTTTTATTCAAATTTCAGTCTCTTCTTTGCAATGAGACTTGGGGAGATTGAAGTTATATGTACTCTATAAAGTGAAAATATTAAGAGTGGTTAGAATTTATTAGCCAACAAGTATACTTAGAGGGTTAGAACTCTTTATTTATGATCTCATCTTTGATCCTAATTCCCCTAGTTCAAAACTTTTTATAAATCACAAGTAATATCTCTATTTTTGATGGTGTGCAGTCATCCCTGGGACCTGGCACCTGCCACACACATGTTTTGCCATGGAACTGCACCCCCAGTCACAGGATATTTTTGGCTAAGCACAAGAAATTACTATTATGGAAGGGTTTTTCATTTTTAGATTTTCAGACAATTTGCTTAATTTTTTTTTTTTTTTTTGGTCCGGTCGTGGGGCCTGAACTCTGGACCTGGGTGCTGTCCCTCAGCTCTTCAGCTCAAGGCTAGCACTCTACTACTTGAGCCACAGCGCCACTTCTGGCTTTTTTTCTTTTTGCTTATGTGGTGCGGAGGAATTTGAACCCAGGGCCTCATGCATGCAAGGCAAGCACTGTACCACTGAGCCACCTTCCCAGCCCCCACAATTTGTGTAAATTATCTAATGTTACTGTTTTTTCTTGTTCTTTAGGTGGCTTTCTTTCAGATGCAGGTTGGTACAGTGATGCTGAGAAAGTATTTCTGTCTTGCCTTCAGTTGTGTACCCTTCATGATGAGATGCTCCACTGGTTTCGTGCAGTGGAATGTTGTGTGAGGTGAGTTGAATAAGATCTATAGGTGGTTACTGTAATGATGCTCAATGGTTTATTGGTTTGGCCCTTCTGTGTCTGCTTCAACACCTCACAGATTTCTGAGGTGATATTTGTATATTATAATTTCTAGCCTTCTGTATCCCAGCTCCAAAATGCTTTTAACATGCTATAGTCAACTTAGCTTAGATCAGAATGCATGTCTTAGATATCTTTTTTTTTTTTTTTTGCTTTTTCACAAAGTTTGTGAATATTATGGACAAAAATACATGTATTATTTTGGCTTTAAAAAATAATTTTTTGTGCTTACTTCAGCAGTACATATACTAAAATTGGAATCATACAGAGAAGATTAACATGGCCCCTACATAAGGATGACATAAAAATTTGTGAAGCATTCCATATTAAAAAAAATAATTTTTTGAGGCAAAAAAGTTTTTTTTTGTTTATTTGTCTTTGTCGGTTGTGGGGCCTGAATGCTGGGCCTGGGCTCTGTCCTTCAGCTCTAGAGCTCAAGGCTAGCGCTCTACCACTTGAGCCACAGCGCCACTTCCAGCTTTTTCTGCTTATGTGGTTCTGAGAAATCGAACCCAGGGCCTCATGCATGCAAGGCAAGCACTCTACCACTGAGCCACCTTCCCAGCTCCAAAAAATTTCTTTTAACTATAAAGCTTAGGCTAGTGTTGAGCTCACAGTCCTGATTCCTCTTACTTGTAAGTGCTAGGATTACAGGTATATACCACCTGAATACTTTTTTGTTGGTATTGGATCTTTTGTTTTTCGTCATGGGGCTTGAACTCTGGGCCAGGGTGCTGTCCCTGACCTCTTCAGCTCAAGGTTAGTGCTCTACCACTTGAGCCACAGCACCTCTATGGTTTCCTGGTAGTTTATTGGTGGTAAGAGTCTCACAGATTTTCCTCCCTGGCTGGCTTTGAACCGTGATCCTCAGATCTCAGCCTCCTGAGTAGCTAGGATTACAGGCATGAGCCACCGGTGACCAGCTAGTATTTTTTTTTATGGGGTCCGGTCGTGGGGCCTGAACTCTGGACCTGGGCGCTGTCCATCTGCTCTTCACCTCAAGGTTAGTGCTCTACTCCTTGAGCCACAGCGCCACTTCCAGCTTTTTTCTTTTTGCTTATGTGGTGCTGAGGAATCGAACCCAGGGCCTCAGGCATGCAAGGCAAGCGCTCTACTTCTGAGCCACCTTCCCCCAGCCCACTAGTATTTTTCTTATAGATAGTTTCATTGAAGATTTATTTATTTAATTCATGAAATAGATGTACCTAAAAGAAAGGAAAATAAATCTAGAAGTAGCTGCTTTTATTGTCCTTATTTTTTCTGTACATCTAACTTAAGCTATTTGATTTTTTTTCTCTTTACCTTCATTTAGTTGGGTTGTTTGTCTATTTTCTATTGCTCAAGCTGGCCTTGAAATGGTGATTCTCCTGCCTCAGATTCCCAAGTAGCTAGGTCTCTAGGCATGTATCACCATACCAGCTGTTTTAGCATTTCTCTTTTTTTTTTTGGTTGGTTGTAGGGGTTGAACTCTGGGCCTGGGTGCTGTCCCTCAGCTCTTCAGCTCAAGGCTAGCGCCCTACCACTTGAGCCACAGTGCCACTTCTGGCCTTTTCTCTGTTTATGTGGTACTGAAGAATTGAACCCAGGGCCTCATGCATGCCAGGCAAGCACTCTACCACTGAGCCAACTTCCCAACCCTTCATAAGAATTTTCTATATGGGTGTAGGCACAGGAATGGAAGGAAGAATGGTGAGCAAATACATTCATTGTATTGAATATATACTGTGTTTTAAAATGAACTGTGTGGGCTGGGAAGATGGCTTAGTGGTAGAGCACTTGCCTTGCATGCCAGAGGCCCTGGGTTCGATTCCTCAGCACCATATAAGCAAAAAGAAAAAAGCTGGAAGTGGCGCTGTGGCTCAAGTAGTAGAGCGCTAGCTTTGAGCTGAAGAGCTTAAGGACAGCGCCCAGGCCCAGAATTCAGGCCCTCCGACCGGACCCCCCCCCCCCCCCAAAAAAAAAAAAAAAAAAAAAAAGAACTGTGTGCCAGACACTGGTGGCTTATTCCTGTAATCGTAGCTGCTCAGGAGGCTGAAATCTGAGGATCAAGTTTCAAAGCCAGCTCTGACAAGAAAGTCTGTAAGACTGTTTTTGGTTTTTTTTCGGTCATGAGGCCTGAACTCTGGGCCTGGGCGCTGTCCCTGAGCTCTTCAGCTCAAGGCTAGCATTCTACCACTTGAGCCACAGCACACTTCTGGCCTTTTCTGCTTATGTTGTGCTGAGGAATTGAACCCAGGGCCTCATGTCTGCAAGGCAAGCACTCTACCACTGAGCCACCTTCCGAGCCCTATAAGACTCTTATCTCCAATAAACTACCCCAAAAAAGCTGAAATGGCCCAAGGTAGGACACTAGCTTGAGCAAAAGATTTGCTCAGGGTCAGTACCCAGGCCCTCAGTTCAAACCCCAGGACAAGTCTTTCTTCCCCCACTCCCTCCCCCCAAATAAACTATGTAGTTTGTGGTTAGGGATAAAAGCGGGAACATGGAGGAAGTTGAAGAAAGGGGTGAAAAGCATTTTACTCATAGCGTGACTTAAGAAATTGTAACACCTTTGCACAACTCCTTTAACAGTGAAAGCCAGTGTCTCATATCTGTAATACTCATAAAGCTGAGATCTAAGGAACTCTGGCCAAAGCCAGCACAGATAGAAAAGTATGTGAAACTCTTATGTTCAATTAACTGCCAAAAAATCAAAAGTGAAGCTATGGCTCAATGGATAGAGTGCTAGCCTTTAGCACAAAAGCTTAGAGACAGTGCCCAGACCCTGATTCCAAGTCCCGGGACTGGCTAAATATATAGTTTTCTATATAAAACAAGAGAAGTAAAAAATACAGTTAAAAAAAGTGTAATTTACTCAATTTATAATCCTCTATTTTTTTTGGGGGGGGGGGGTCTGGTCATGGGACCTGAACTCTGGGTCTGGGCGCTGTCCCTCAGCTCTTCAGCTCAAGGCTAGCGCTCTACCACTTACTTGAGCCCACAGCGCCACTTCTGGCTTTTTTCTTTTTGCTTATGTGGTGCTGAGGAATGGAACCCAGGGCCTCAGGCATGCAAGGCAAGCGCTCTACCACTGAGCCACCTTCCCAGCCCATAATCCTCTATTTTTATGATACAAAGTATATGTATAGAGATGTGTTAGTTAAGTCTGAAGTCCTCCTATGTTATAATCTAGATTTTTTTTTTTGCCAGTCCTGAGCTTGAACTCTGGGCCTGGGCACTGTCCCTGAGATTCTTTTTCTCAAGGCTAGTACTCTACCACTTGAGGCCACACTGCCATTCCTAGCCTTTCCTGTTTATGTGGTACTGAGGAATTGAACCCAGGACTTCGTGCATGGCAGGCAACCACATTCCCAGCCAGAGTCTATAGTACTACTGTTTATTTAAGCTAGGTTTGAATGGTGCATTTCTTCTCCTTTTTAAATTTTATTCTTTTTGTTAGTTGTGAGGCTGGGTGTTCTAGGCTTGGGTGCTGTCCCTAGGATCTTTTGCTCAAGGGTAGCACTCTATCACTTTGAGCCACAGCCCAACTTCTGGTTTTCTGGTGGTTAATTGGAGTTAAGAGTCTAAGACTTACTTGTCCACACTGGCTTTGAACCACAATTCTTAGATCTCAGCCTCTTAAGTAGCTAGGATTACAGGTGTGAGCCACCATCACCCAGCTTCTTCTCCTTTTCTTCCCTCTCCACCTACTCCTTTTACATTTTTTTTAAATGGTCACTCTTTTTATAATTGATTTCAATCTTTTTTTATGGTTGGTTGTGGGGCTTGAACTCTGGGCCTGGGCTCTGTCTCTGAGCTCTTCAGCTCAAGGTAAGCACTCCACCATTTGAGCCACAGCCCAACTTCTGGTTTTCTGGTGGTTAATTGGAGACATGAGTCTCATGGATTTTCCTGCCCTGGGTGGTTTTGAAGCATGATCCTCAGATCTAGGAGAGTAGCTAGGATTATAGGCGTAAGCTGGCATCTGGTTTGATTTCAGTCTTTTAAGGCTGTCTGTTCCCTGCTTTATATAGGGTTTTCTTTTTGAGAGAAACAAATTCTGAAGTTAATTTTGTAATGTGAAATTTTAATTAAAAATATTTTAGAAGCTTAAAGGTAGTCATGGTGGGCACACACCTGTAAATCCGGCTCTGGGGAAGCAGAAGCAGGAGAATCTTAAATTCAAGGCCAGCATGAAGCTACATACAGGAACCTGGTCTCAGAAAGCACACAGAAATTTGACTAGCTTATAATTTCCCATATATGTTTGAAAAGTACTGTATGAAAAATTACAAGAGTGTCTGTATGCAGAAACTACAAAACACTTAGGATTTGGGTCTATAATTTGTAGTGCTGATGAAAGTAATCTCTTGTCTATTCTCACTTGCCAGTTTTATCTTTGTAAGAATAGGAGACAAGACTGTCCCATATAGAATGTGAAAGATTAGTTAATTTATGTGTATACGAAACAAGTAATTTGGAACAGAAAAGCGTTAACATTTTTTTTGGGGGGGGGGGGGGTGGTCAAGTCGTGGGGCCTGAACTCTGGGCCTGGGTGCTATCCAGCTCTTCAGCTCAGGGCTAGCGCTCTACCACTTGAGCCACAGCGCCACTTCTGGCTTTTTTCTTTCTTTTTTTCTTTTTTTTGGGTCCAGTTGTGGGGCCTGAACTCTGGGCCTAGGCGCTGTCCCTCAGTTCTTCTTTTTGCTTATGTGGTACTGAGGAATCGAACCCAGGGCCTCAGGCATGCAAGGCAAGCGTTCTACCACTGAGCCACCTTCCCAGCCCATGGTTAACATTTTCTTTTCATCTGTGTTTGGTTTCTATTTGTAGAACCAGAAGATTTATATTTTTTAGATTTGTTTAAACCAGATACTTAATGCGTTTTTTTTTTTGTTGTTGTTGTGGGGCTTGAATTTTGGGCTTGGGTGCTATCCCTCAGCTCTTTAGCTCAAGACAAGTGCTCTATCGCTTGAGCCACAGCACCACTTCCAGTTTTCTTTTTCTTTTTTTTTTTTTTTTTAATTTTATTTTATTTTATTTGTGAACATACTGTATGGAGGGGTTACAATTACATGGGCAGGATAATGCATACATTTCTTACCAAGCATTGCAGCCTCCTCCTTTGTTTACCCTTCACCTCCCTTCCCAGCCTCCCCCCTCCCCCCCACCACTTCCAGTTTTCTGGTGGTTTATTGGAGATAAGAGTCTCACAGAAGTTCCTGCCCGGGCTGGCTTTGAATCGTGATCCTGAGATCTCAGCCTCCTGAGTAGCTAGGATTACAGGTGTGAGTCACTGGCACCCGACTTTAATAACTTTTTATAACTTTTTTTGGGGGGGGAGGGGTGCAG